GACAATTTACATCTTTATTTTTTTTAAATGAGCATATTTTTGAGCAGGACGATTCGGTGCGGGTATCCATCGAATCGGTTACAATTGTGATCCCTACACCCGTGTGGTTTGTGAATGGAATAAGGCATGCATAAAAATAGGAAGAATGAACAAACATTACTCCATAACATGCATCAATCTAGGGAAAAACATAAGTAGTCATATCCGAGGATAACACTATTTTTAGTATTATTAGTAGTAATTATTTCTTAAAAATTGTTCAATTAAAACATATCTCAGGAGGAACAAAGGAAAAGAGGGAAAGAAAAGCAAAGAAAATATGAAATGGAGAACAAAAGGGAAATAACAATAAAGACATTTTTTTTTAGAAAAAACACAAATTGAAAAAAGAATGAAATCCATCAAAAAAATTAAAAAATTAAAAATTAAAAAAAGAGAGAATGAAATACGAAGTAACAACGAACAATGAAAATGAGATATGGGGACGGCATGAAGAAGAATCGGCCCCCGTATGTTGTGAAGAAAAAGATTTAAAAATATGAGAAGAGATTGTGGAACAAAACATTCCGTGTGAGGGTGAAGACGAAGAAATGGATGACCTATTATTACAGGTAGCTATCAGATCAGATGGCCTATTTGATGGTTTTTCTGAAGTAAATGTACTCGGATGATACTTTTATTAGTAGAAGGGTTTATGTGATTGTTTTGTAATAGTAGAAGGGTTTATTTGACCCTTTTTCCAATTATTTATTGAAAAAACATGCATTTTTAGGCCTAAAAATTGTGCAAATTTTCAAAAATTTGTTTAACTAACTTCCCAATTGAAAGGAACCAACTGCAGATTCGAGCCATCACCGCCATCATTATGCCCTTAACAAATAATTCTTTCTCTTCCACTTGCGAAATAAATATGAACTCTATTTGGGCAGTTTACGGCCATTGGAAACAGTTTCAACACTCGTATCAACTATTGCTCTAACTTCCAATTGCAGAATCACAGTTTTGCCCAATTCACTTGAGCTCATGTTTGGAAGGCAACAACAAATTCAAGTTCTGTAATCTAGAGAAGCATGCGTAATCCTACAACAAACAAACTATTGATAGAAATACTCAAAGTAATGTAAAAATGGAAATGCATATCATATATAACACATGCAGCTAAAACATGATGACTTATAGGCAAATCATCAACAAATATGAAACAATAAGAAATTATAAAATATTGCTTCCAGGAAATAACATACGTACCAAACGATTTAGTTGCATAATTTCCTAAATTTTCTTAGGAAAAATTTTGTCCCGTGCCTTCTGAAAATGTTCATATAAAGTAGGTCTAAAAGTTGCAGTTTTAGGCCTATTTCATTTGAGCTATTTCCGGGTCGAATTTGTTGATAAAATTTGGTGGGCATGTTCCCATGTAATGTAGATATGTCCACCAAATTTTAGATTGAAATTCAATCGGAAAGTTAATTAAATAAATTTTTAAAAATTGCATAATTTTTTCGGCCTAAAAATGTAGTTTTTTTCAATAAATTATTTAACTAACTTCTTGATTTAATTTTAATCTGAAATTCAGTGGACATAACCTACACTTTATGATGAACACGATCACCAAATTTTATCAAAAAACTTGACTCGGAAGCCCCTCAAATTTCATAAAAATGTCTCATTCCTGTCACGACGTCCTGACCGGAACCCCCGTGCGAACAACACCATCAGAGGGTCTTCCTGGTGAAATTTTGTCGATGAATTTTTTTGAGCATGTTCCTCATCAAGTCTAGTTTATTCAAACTAAATTTCAGCTCAAAACTCAATCGGGAAGATAGTTAAAAAAAATCTTGAAACATACTGCATTTTATATATGTACAAAATGTGCTGTAAGAGAAGAGCCGCCACTTCAAGTGGGGTCTTTTGTATTGTAAGAGAAGAGCCGCCACTTCAAGTGGTGGCTTTTGTATTGCAAGAGAAGAGCCGCCACTTCAAGTGGCGGCTTTTCTTAACCACAGTTAACCCAACGGTATTTTAGGAATTATTTCTAACCCAGCAGTATTTTAAGAATTATTTATTTAGTTAACATTATTTCGGGAAAAAACTCCGGGTAGTAGGCTACTAATTTATTTAGAAAAATAGCAAGTATTCTTAGTGAGTAGTGCTAACATTCAAAGAAGCAAATACAAATAATATAAAGCAAATATTTTATTTGTGCGTGAATATATACTAATGGAGTATTACAAATAATATTCTAATTTAGAAAATCAGAATACCTGTGGTTGCGGGCGTTTTCAATTAGGGGTCTGTGATAAACTTTGTAACAAACACACCTTCGTGTTTTGCTACCGTTACCACCCGCGGGGTCTATTCGACCTGACCGTTAGTAAAGGGCGACGTGGCAGATTTTTTTTCCAAATAGGCTCCAGCGTGGCCAATGGAGAGCAATTATTTGAATTCTAAAAAAAACCAAAAACTTAAGTCCAATTAGGGCTTAACAAAATACGAATTAGGCGCGATAGAAACTTCTTCTTGACATCGGTCCTTCACTTGCGTTTGGAAAGACGAGTAGGTGTTGGTCGTAGCAGACAAAGGACAAGAACGTACGGACTGGGTATGGAAGCTTAGTTATTTTCCTGTTAAGGTCTTCAGGTCAAAGTAAGTACTCCAACTATTATTTATTTTGAAGTTTGGTTAAGATTTTGGGATTTTTAGGTTACAGTGTGAATGGTGTTTTGAAAGCCGGTTGGTAGTTAATTTTGGGATTATTAATGTGTGACTGGGTTCGTTTTGAAAGTCGGTTGGTAGTTTTGCAGTGTAGCACTTTAAGTTGTCATGTTTCTATGGTTTGGGATGTTTAGGTTGTCCGCATTCAATGTATGTACAGGTTGGGAATGAGTGAATACATCAACTTGAAAATTCACCATGGTGGAAAGTGGGACTGTCCAAGACAAAAGAAAAAGTACGTGGGGGGTCAGATTTTGGTTAAAGATAAAGTTGACATTGACTATTTGAGCAAGTTTGAATTAGATGGGTATGCAACAGATTTGGGTTATACAAATGGGGTCCAAATGTGGTTTAGAAGATTCTCAATAAGGGAGTTGTGTGGGCCAGTAAATTTGCAAGAAATAGTATGTGATAAAGATGTCCAAGACATGCTGGTGTGTAACATAATGGACCCACATGTTGACATGTACTTTGTTGCAAACACTAGTAAGAAACGGGTGGTGGGTAGTTTACCACAAACAACAACCCATTCTTCACAGGAAGCCCAAAGTTCTGTCCCAACTACAACACCAAGTAAAGACCAACCTTCACTACCCCAAGCTCTAGAAACTGAATTACAGAGTGATGAAGATGATGAGGACTATGTGATTCAGAGTGGTTCTGAAAGTGCTTCAGGTGAGCATTCCAATTCCAATCTCAGTGAAGCTAGCTGGCTATATGATGACCTAGAAGGGAGTGAAGATGATGTCTTTAATGATGAAAGTGCCACATTAAACCAACAACCACAAGGAGATCCAGATCCAGCTTCACAACCCAACACTTTTGGGCTTGAGGATCTGAATGAAGAGCAGTTTGAGGAGTTTAATGAGAGACCCTGCTATAGTGATGACCTGAATAGCTTTGTAGGATCTGATGAAGGTGATGCAAAATATGAAGACTTCAATGAAGAAACAGGAGCTACACATCCAGAATTGTCCAAAGGTTTGAAATTTACTACACATACCTCCTTTAGAAATGCTCTTAAGGATTGGGCTGTCAAGGGTGGATTTGAATTTAAATTTGTGAAGAACAATAGATCTAAAATCACATGGGTATGCAAAAACAAGGACATATGTTCTTTCAGAGTTCATGCTTCTAAAGTTCCTGGATGTGGTTCCTTTCAGATTAAGACATTTAGGCCAAAACATGAATGCCCTTTCTGTAACACTTGAGATTTAATATAAACGGATTAATAGTAATACTCATACCAACAGAGGTGCATCTCCTTTTAAGGCAGCTCATCATCCAAGAACTCCAAAGTTAAGCGTGCTTGCACGGGAGTAGTCTTGGGATGGGTGACCCCCTGGGAAGTTTCTCAGGGCGCGCATGAGTGAGGACAAAGTGCGCGGTAAAGGCTCGTGGTGGTTTGTGGGGACAGTACTATTGGTCCGGAGTAACTACCTCGGGTCCCACGGGGCCGGGGTGTTACAAATGGTATCAGAGCAACCCTGCGACAGTGTGTTGACCCGTTGGATATCGGGCGGGCACTTAGCGGGGGGAGATTCTGGGATTTGATTGAGATTTGAGATTGGTTTATGGGCGCAACGAGGACGTTGCGTTCCTAAGTGGGGGTGATTGTAACACTTGAGATTTAATATAAACGGATTAATAGTAATACTCATACCAACAAGGTGCATCTCCTTTTAAGGGAGCTCATTAGCCAAGAACTCCAAAGTTAAGCGTGCTTGCACGGGAGTAGTCTTGGGATGGGTGACCCCCTGGGAAGTTTCTCAGGGCGCGCACGAGTGAGGACAAAGTGCGCGTAAAAGGCTAGTGGCGGTTTGTGAGGATAGTACTATTGGTCCGGAGTAACTACCTCGGGTCCCACGGGGCCGGGGTGTTACACTTTCAGTAATAGAAACAGCTTAGTCAGTAGTACATATTTAGCAAAAAAGTACATGGATGAATTGAGGGAAAATCCTGAATGGGATGTCACTGCTATGCAAAAGGCAGTGCAAAGACAATTAAGGGCTGAGGTAAGTCTGGCAAAGTGTTATAGAGCTAGAAGAAAGGTAAAGGCAAAGATTCAAGGGGACATTAAAGAACAATATAGGAGGTTGAGGGATTATGCAGAAACTGTAGTGAAATACAATCCTGGGAGTGTAGTCAAAATAAAAACTGAAGCTAGGGATGAGAATATAGAAGGTGCTACTGCAGAGGGTGGTCCAAGAATGCCCAAGGAAATTCTAATGCTTCAGTACATGTACATGAGGTTTAGTGCACAGAAGCAGGGGTATTTTGCAGGTCTTAGACCCTTAATTGGGTTAGATGGCTGCCATTTGAAAACACCTATGGGAGGGCAACTACTATGTGCTGTAGCTAGGGATGGAAATGAAAACATGTTTCCTCTTGCTATAGCATATGTGGATAGTGAAGATAAAGCTTCATGGACTTGGTTCTTGCAAGTATTGTTTCAAGACTTTGGCAGGCCAGAGGAAACTAACTGGGTTTTCATGTCTGACAAACAAAAGGTAATAAAAAAGTACTTATTTCTTGTTTAAAATATGTGAACAACTTCTTTCTATATATTGTGTTTAATTGTTACCTTCTTTCAGGGTTTAGTTGAGGCATTCAAGGCTGTGTCACTTGCCAATGAACACAGATACTGTGTGAAGCACATGTATGAGAACTACAAGAAAATCTTTAGAGGGGCTGAGTACAAAAAGAAGCTCTGGTTTGCAGCTAGCACTGGAAGTCTGAGGTCATGGGAGAGGCAAATGGAAGGAATAAAGAAGTTTGATGAGGCTGCTTACAACTGGATTATGCAGTATGACCCAAGTACTTGGAGCAGATCTCATTTTTCAATTCAAGCACAGTCTGATGCTTTGCAGAATAACATATGTGAGTTATTCAATGCATACATACTTAGAGCTAGAGATATGCCTATTTTGAGCATGTTTGAGTGGATTAGAAGAAGGTTGATGGCTAGGTTTCATGTTAAGTACACTGCCATGAGTAAGTATAAGGGTAATATATGTCCTAATAAGCAGGATCTACTAGAAAAATTCAAATTTGAAAGTAGGAATTGCTTTTCTACTCCTGCTGGGGATAACTTGTTTGAGGTTGATTTCTATGACACTAGCCATGTGGTTAATCTTAGAGACAAGACTTGTACATGTCGAAGGTGGGATTTGAATGGGATCCCTTGTAAGCATGGAGTGTCTGCTATATATGCCAATAGAGAGAAACCTGAAGACTATGTGAGTGTTTTTTATGCTAAATCCACCTATTTGGCAGTGTATAAACACATAATCCATCCTCTACCAAGTAAAGATGAGTGGGAGAGAACAGATACTCCAGATATTGAGCCCCCAATTCCTAGAAAACCTGCAGGAAGACCCAAGAAAAAAAGGATTAAACAACCTGATGAAACAAGGAATCCCTATAAGGTGTCTAGGGCAGGTAAGCAGGTCATATGTGGCAATTGCAAGCAAGTGGGTCACAATGTTAGAGGGTGTAAGACTTCCATAACTGGGGAAACACCATGGCAAAGGAGAAAGAGGTTAGGAAAACAAAAATCTGCCAAAACAACCCTAGGTGGTGATGATGACACAGCTGACCCAACCTCTCATGACCTAGAGCAGACTGAGAATAATGAAACTTTTCATATGTCAACTCCCATTGCCCATGATCCAGTTTCCCAAAGGGATGAAGGAAGAACAAAGAAGAAAAGAAGAATAAGCAGTTCACAACCACCTCAACCATCAGCCAGAAGAGTGACTAGGTCCTCAAGTTCACAACCCTCAATGGTAGTATTTTGTTCTTCATTTTTACTGTAACCTAATCTTTAGTGTGTTTTCTTTACACTTATTGTGATCTTATTACTTCTTTCAGGATCCAGAGCACTAAGGATGGAGTGAGGGGAAAGAAGTAATCATGCAGTTGTAGTGTAGGGAGATGAAGATTGGTACTTTAGAAGATGTGTTATGTTTACAGTTCACTTTTATGTACTCGTCAATCATGCTTTTTATGAGCATGTGTTTTGTAATGAAACTTATGTAACAAACATCTTTGGCATGTGTTTTGTTATGAAGTTGCTGTATGACATTGGCAGCTAAGTTCTTTTGGGTCCAATGTTACTTGTTATGAAGTTCTTAAACCACCGGCATGTAATTTGTGTTGGGTGAAATCTATCTTTATTTTGTCCATTTCTCTCTCTTTTGGATAAGTAAACAGATTGGATCACTTTGTCCATTTTATTTTAACTTTGTAAGTATTTTGGTTCATTTGGGTATACATATGGTGCTATGGTGCAAGCTATCATTCTGGTTTTGGGTTTTAGGTGTATACATATCGATTGTGTGATACTTATTGTTATGGTTTTGGGTATATAAATGTTGTTAATGGATGCTGTCAAACCAAATGTTAGGTAATTGTTCAAACCTTTATATATAGGTATATATATGCTCTAAATGGATGGATGTTATCAAACGAAGTGTTCTGTTTTACAGGTCTCTTTTGTAAAACCAAATGGGCTGTATTTGTGAATGAATCCTTGTGAAACCAAATGCTTTAGGCATGTTGTATTATGCTATGTTTTTCAGTATATGTGGATAAGAGACTTCATACTTCCTACATTAAAGAACTTCAAACAAAGTTCATATATCAAGCATCAAGCATTGTTACATTTCATTACACATTACACAAAGGAAACACACTACAAATGAAAGTGAACACAATGACATCTAGTTCAGCCATTTCATCAAACACATTGACAACAACTTACACCTAAACCCTTCTAATTACAAAGAAAATAAAAAATAACAGGGCCACACAAAGAAGCTTCCACTTAAAAGTCAGATTATCATTGTTAGCCATCTTCAATTGCAGTTCCATGTTCTGCACCTTCAGAATACCAATTCCACGAACGCAGGTCTTCATTTCACCCTCCAGCTCCATCACTTTCACCCGGACATGTTCTTCAAGTCTTCCAACCTTCTGAAGAACCAAATCTAAGTTCTCCTGACAAGTACGACATGTGTCCTCCTCAACCCACTCAAAAAATTTGCATTGTTGACCACCGCCACTTGAATAACGCCCACAACCATGAAATCTTTTCCCTCTATTCTTCTCTGTTGTCGCCGTCCAAATCGGTGCTTGGACTCCACAATCACACCTCTTCACTTGTTGTCTTCCATCCATGGCAGATGAGCTTGAATTTGAAGAACTCATCTTTCTTCTTCGTCACACCCTAAGCGCCTGTGGGAGGAGAGATGTATTCAGAGTGTTGTCGTAGGGTTTCAGATTGGGATTGGCATTACTTAATAACAGGAATAATGACATGGTGCTTCAAGATTGGGATTGCAAGCCACGTAAGCAGATTTGTGGCAAATTATGTTCCACTTCAGCATTAAATAAACGGAGTCAAGACGGGGACCCCGCGGGTGGTAACGGTAGCAAAACACGAAGGTGTGTTTGTTACAAAGTTTATCACAGACCCCTAATTGAAAACGCCCGCAACCACAGGTATCTAATCCGTACTTTTCCCTTTAGAAAAATAGCAAGTATTCTTAGTGAGTAGTGCTAACATTCAAAGAAGCAAATACAAATAATATAAAGCAAATATTTTAATTGTGCGTGAATATATACTAATGGAGTATTACAAATAATATTCTAATTTAGAAAATCAGAAATCACCTCAAGGGTGGAATATTTAAGTAAAATAAGTAGTGCCATGTACACTTGATAACTCTCAATTGAATTGATCTTTTTTTTCATAATATTTTCTTCCCCTATTTTCATTTAATTTTACCATCGAGTTTTTTACTCAGTTGATATTATGAAGTTTTGGTTGAAGTGGTTGAAATTGTAGTAACACTGAAATTTTCAATTGTCTGAATCGGCGAGTTCTGTTGAAATTTATGAAATTATGATTGGAGTGGCTAGATTGGTTGATTCTGCTGAATTATGAAAAAGTTATATTTAAAATATATTTCATTAATGAGGTAAAGAAAAATTATATGAAAAATAACTAAAAAGCTCCTCTACATTAACTTCGGCCAATTCAGCCAGAAAAGTAACTCATACTTTACTTATTTTGTTTATTACACAATTAATTGCGTGAAATCAAAAGTTACATGCTTGATCAAAAAATTGACTGATAAGACTGATAAGATGAAAAACAGGGTAGGCAATCGGACTCTTAGAAGTTTATAACTGGTTATAAGTTACCTTGAAAAGGTTAAAATAAATGCATAATGTTCACCAAAAGTAATACTACCTACAAAGCTAACTAACATGAGTAAAGTATGCAAGTTGATTATAAATTACCAAAGTGGGTCGTAGAGTTTGGGTCTTTGGGATTGAGTTGGGTTGATCAACTCAACCCCTATATTGTGTTCGAGGCTTCCAGCCTCAAAACCTATTGTCATTTACAACTATTTCATACTCCCTCGTTTTCATTTAAATCGACAAATATGTGGCTAAAATTATTTATTATCTGTTCACCGCACAAATTTCAATCACAAAGTTATTATTTTATGTGCAAGTCAAACTTAACCAAGTTTTTTTGGGACGAGATTATGAGCCCGTTTGGTAGTATGAAAATCAGTTTATTTGGCGGATTCTGCTGAAATTAATGAAGTTTTGGCTGAAGTGGCTGCATTGGCTGATTCTGCTGATTTAAGGAAAAATTAATTTTTAAATATATTTTATTAATAAAATAAAGAAAAAATTATACGATAGTATATAAAAATAGATAAAATGGTTATCTACACTAACTTCAGCCAATACAACCAGAAAGTAACTCCAACCTTACTTTTTCTGCTTATCACACAATTCAGCGCGTGAAAGCAAAACTTCCGTGTTTGGTGAAAAAGTTGGTTGATAAGCCTGATAAGCCGAAAAACAGTGTTGTCAAACGACCTCTATATGTTAAAACAAAAAATTACAGCCAAATCGCATAATCACATACTTTAAAACTCACATACACATATTTTCCACACAATAATTGGTTGGAATATATAATTTATCTGACAATTTTTAAAATACTTCGTACATAGGATATTTCATTAACTATTTACAAAAATCTCATAATAATTTCACATGCAACCATTGTTTATAGAAAAGAATATTATTTTAATATTGGACAAATACTCTCGCGCTTTGTGCGAGCAAACGCTAGTATCTATATTATATATACATATACATAGTAAAACAGAAAAGTGTGGGGGGTTTTTGGGCGGGAACACTATAGCATTTGGAGTAATTAGTGTAAACACCATTTTATTGGTATATTTAATTCTTCGTATACATAGAGCACTAAGAAAATACTCCATAGTATTGGAAGACCAAAAGCTCTACAGTAACATGTACCATCGAGAGGTGGATAAGTAATTAATGATTTGTCTAATGAAATGTTTCTAACCTTCCAGCTTCTCAAAAATAAATCTAATGTTGAAATATATTGAATAGTCATCTTCCAACTATTCATGATCAGGAACACTTATCATCATTGTTAGTATAAATAAGAATTCATAATTATGATTTCTAGATGGTAATTGTATGGCTCACAATTAGCCCCTGATCTAGACATGATTACATTTTCTCCTATAAATAGGAGCATTCTCCTTCATTGTAAACACACCGTTATCACACTTCTAATAACATCTTTCTCACTAAATATTCAGACTATACTTTCTCTCCCTGATCTTCTGCTTATTTCCTTCCATTTTATAACACGTTATCAGCACGAATTTGCTCCAAATCCGTGAAATCATCATCTTCCCAGTAGGTATATTTTTTCATGAATTTATCAGCTTATCTGAAAAAGAAAAATCAGAGGTTGAGATCAGAAGTACATAGCATAAACCTGTTTATATATATTAAAACTATAAGAAGTATGCTCTATGGTTGCCCAACCATTGGGATCCTCCATATCAGAAAATTATAGCTATGTTTTTCTATAAAGAAGTTGAAGAAGATAGACTAAATACAAATCTGGAATTCTTATAAATATTCTATTCACGAAGTAGCAATTATATTATTATTAGACATATGATTTTACTTTTATTCAAGCTATAATACTACAGGAACATATATACATACCTTAAAATCAAAGCATTATCTCCACTTCATCCTCACAAGTACTTTGGTCATCTTCTAAAGAGGAGTACGTATACTGCTTATACTGCTCTTTATAAGAGTGAAAGAAAATATATACGGAGTAAATAGTATCATAGTAGAGGAGATATACGGAGTATGATTTTAAACCTAAAAACGAAAGAATTGATATATACTCCCTCCGTATCATATATATCTTCCCACTTCTAAAGTGGGTGAGATTAAGAATAGTGAAAGGAGATATAAATTATTGAGGGTATGATGGGAAGATGGTGAAATAATGTGATGGAATGAAGGATAAATCCAAAAAAAGTAGGTGTAATAGTGTATTATTTTTTTAAGTTATTGAGGGTATTTCGGGAAGATTTAGAAATGGGAAGATATAAATGTTACGTTCAAAAAAAGAAAGTGGGAAGATATAAATGTTACGGAGGGAGTACCATATAAGTACTAGCCAGGCCATGACTTGCTTAAATTCTATATATATATATATATATATATATATATATATATATATATATATATATATATATATATATATATATATATATATATATATATATATATACGAAGTAAGATCGAAGATCACGGGAATCAAATGAATATGGCCCTCTGTCACATGCAAGCCTGAAACATATCTGATAAATTATCTCTACACATTTAATTCAAAATCATAAACAAACAAAAAAAATGTGTCTGATAATAAATGCATAAGTTTGTTTGTAGCATTTACTCTTGGGAACATTGCATGTAGATAAAAAGACAAAATTCTGCCAAACTCACATGGTTAACAAAATATAATTTATTAGTCACATGGTCAATATATACTCCGTAATACACATGAATCATTCATACATTCACATCATGTGTAACCAACCATTCTCCAGTTTTACATTTACTACATGGTGTCATTTGATTATTTGGTAAGTAATTCATAACAAATATGAATAATAATGAGTTTGATATTATCGATTCCTAATTTCCTAATTATTTACGCATGTATCAAATAAAAAAAAAACATATGCTCCGTATAAGGTTAATTAAAAAAAAATGCCAAGTTTATTTCCAAAACCAAATTGACGGACTAGAAGCAATTGATGATTTCTTTGATTATAATTATACGATAGTATATATTACCTTATATATTTTCCTGATTAAATCAATACTTTTTGTAGTATTATGGCACATATGAGCAAAAGAGAGTTTGACGTCCTTGATTTATCTGGCCAAAAGTATTTGGAATGGAAAGTCGACGCTTTGGCACATTTGAAAGCAAATGCCCTTGAAAATACAATTGCTGAAAATAATTCAGCCACTCCCCAAAATAAGGCAAAAGCCATCATCTTTCTTCGTCATCATCTTCATGAAAGTTTGAAATCTGAGTATTTATTGGGAGATGACCCTAAAGAATTATGGGATAATCTCCAAGAAAGGTATGGTCATCAACAAAAGGTCCTTTTACCAAAAGCTCAATATGACTGGATCAATTTACGATTCCAGGATTACAAATCTGTAAGTGACTACAATTCTGCTTTGTTCCAAATAACATCAAAACTAAAGTTATGCGGACAAAAAGTCACTGATGATGAAATGTTGGAGAAAACTTTGTCCACTATGCATGTTTCAAATGTGCTTTTACAAGAGCAATATAGACAAAAGCATTTTCAAAAGTATTCTGATTTGATATCAGTATTACTATTTGCTGAGACGAATACCGACATTTTGATGAGAAACCACAATATGAGACCCACGAGTTGTAGCCCGCTTAGTTTTGGTCCACCAAATCATGGTTCAAAACATGAATCAAATGCAACCCATAGTGGTGCTCGTGGACATTTCAAACGTGGTCGTGGTATTGGTCATTATAATGGACCTAGACGTGGAAACAAACAGAGTAGTAGCTCATTTTACAAAGGCAAGGGTAAGCAAAACCACCATCAAACAAAGAGCCCGACGAAATCTTTAGAAAAGGCTAAAGTCACTTGCTTTAAGTGTGGCACGTCGGGACATTGGGCAAATAAGTGTCGTACACCTAGACACTTGATTGATTTATATAAATCATCTCTAAAAGGAAAGAATGTGGAAACTAATTACTTCAACGAAAATGATCCACCAATGCCCACATTTAATGTGTCTGATTTCTATATATGGACGATAATGAGATGAACACCAACATCGTTATGGGTGAAAAATAATAAATAAGTAAATAAAAGCAATTTGAAATTATTCTGTTATGTAATATATTCTACAATAAAAGTTTGTTGTATTGTAATTTTTGTTTGGTGTGCTTATTTCGATTGTAAATGTTATGTACATTTTAATGAATAAAGCCTTGTTTATATTACAGTATTGAACTAATATTTGTTCATTTTTATCTTTTCGAAGATATGGAGTTAACTAAAATTTCTCCAAGTGGCTCTGAACAATGTCTAATAGACAGTGCCACAACGCACACCATTTTGAGACATAGAGATTATTTTTCTCATATGACATTAGTTGATGCTAATGTCAATACAATCCCAGGTGTTGCTAAACTAATTGAAGGTTCTGGAATAGCCTGTGTGATTCTCCCAAAAGGGACAAAATTAATAATTAAAGACGCTTTATACTCCAGTAAATCACGGAGAAATCTTTTGAGCTTTAAAGATTTACGTCTAAATGGTTTTCATATTGAAACAATGTCTGAAAATCAGAAGGAATATTTATGTCTAACGATAAATAGATCTGGCAATAAATACATTTCTGAAAAAATGCCAGCATATTCCTCGGGACTGTATTATACATATATCAGTCCAATTGAGATAAATGTGGTATCTAAAATTTATGACCACAATTCCTTTATCTTGTGGCATGACCGTTTAGGTCATCCAGGCAGCACTATGATGCACAAAATTATTGAAAATTCACGTGGACATTCATTAACTAATGTCAAGATTCCACAATCAAGTGATTTTCCGTGCACTGCCTGTTCTCTTGGCAAATTAATTATCAGGCCATCTTTATACAAAATTGGAGTTGAATCTCCTGCATTTTTAGAAAGAATTCAAGGAGATATTTGTGGGCCAATTACCCCTCCGTGTGGACCGTTTCGATATTTTATGGTGCTCATTGATGCATCAACACGTTGATCACATGTCAGTCTTTTATCGACTAGAAATTTTGCATTTGCAAATCTCCTTGCTCAAATTATTCGTTTGAGATCACAATTTCCGGATTATTCGATAAAGAAAATCCGACTTGATAATGCAGGAGAATTTACATCCCAATCTTTTAATGACTATTGCATGTCAATTGGGATTGATGTGGAACATCCAGTTCCACATGTACATAAACAAAATGGTCTTGCCGAATCCTTAATTAAGCGATTACAATTAATTGCTAGACCATTATTGATGAAATCCAGATTACCATCATCTGCATGGGGATAAGCTATAATGCATGCTGCAAATTTAATTCGGCTTAGGCCAACGGCATATCATAAATTTTCCCCATTACAATTAATATCTGGTAAAGAACCAAATATATAACACCTAAAAATATTTGGTTGTTCTGTGTATGTACCAATTGCTCCACCATATCGTACTAAAATGGGTCCTCAAAGAAGGCTGAGAATTTATGTTGGTTTTAAATCACCCTCAATTATTAATTATCTAGAACCTATGACCGGTGACTTATTCACCACGCGGTTCGATGACTGTCATTTTGATGAGACAGTATTCTCAGCCTTAGGGGAGATATTAAAGAAATGGACCCACGTACGAAAGATATTACTTGGAATGCAACAAATTTATCTTTTCTTGATTCTCGCACAAATGCTTGTGAACAAGAAATTCAAAAGATTATTCATTTGCAAACCAATTGCCTGATGCTTTCACTGACTCAAAGAAAGTGACAAAGTCACATGTTCCAGCTATGAATGCTCCTTCTCGAATAGAAATTCCTGCGGAGATTAGCGAACACTTGCTAATGAATATATGATACGTAAAAAACGTGGTAGACCACTTGGTTCAAGAGATTTGAAACCAAGAAAATTTAAACAGCAAGTTGTAGTTTGTGATGCCAAAGAAGTTCAACCTTCTCAAGAAGAAAATGAACATTTTGAAAATATCGGCCTTGAAGATAACATCAATAATAATGATACCTCAAAAGAGGATCCAATCACCTTCGAAGAGGTAAATATTCCAGATAAAGATAGAAACGTCGATAATTTTGAAATTTCAATTAATTATGTTTCTAATGGAATACAATGGAATAGAAATGATATTGATGTTAACGATATATTTTCATATGCCATCGCCACAGATATAATGAATGAACACGATGACAATGAGCCTAAATCTATTGACGAATGTCGTCGTAGAAATGATTGGCTAAAATGGAATGAAGCAATTCAGGTAGAATTAAAATCGCTAGAAAAGCGTAATGTTTTTGGACCAATTGTCCATACGCCAAAAGGCGTAAAACCTGTCGGTTTTAAATGGGTTTTTGTGCGTAAACGCAACGAGAAAAATGAAATCGTTAGATACAAAGCCCGACTTGTTGCCCAAGGTTTTTCTCAAATGCCAGGAATCAATTATGATGAGACGTATTCTCCAGTAGTTGATGCTACAACTTTAAGATTTTTAATTGGCATGTCTGTTTTTGAAAGGCTGCAAATGCGCCTCATGGATGTGGTGACCGCATATTTATACGGTTCACTCGATACAGACATATATATGAGAATTCCTGGAGGCTTTAAAATACCTGATGCTTATAGCTCGAAATCTCGAGATTTATTTTCCATAAAATTGCAAAAGTCATTATATGGATTAAAACAATCTGGACGCATGTGGTATAACCGTCTCAGTGAATATTTGATTAAAGAAGGGTATAAAAATGATCCTATTAGTCCATGTGTTTTCATTCAGCGATCCGAATCAGGATTCGCCATAATTGCAGTATATGTTGATGATTTGAATATAATCGGAACTCCTAATGAAATTGAAAATACTGCAAAATATCTCATGAAAGAATTTGAAATGAAAGACCTTGGGAGAACAAAATTTTGTCTCGGCATTCAAATTGAACATTTGAGAAATGGTATTTTCATCCACCAATCAAATTATACCAAGAAACTTTTGAAGCGATTTTACATGGATAAAGCACATCCGCTCAATTCTCCAATGGTGGTTCGATCTCTCAATGTGCATGATGATCCTTTCCGACCTTGTGAAGATGATGAAGAAATCCTTGGTCCCGAAATACCATATTTGAGTGCTATTGGAGCATTAATGTATTTGGCTAATAATATTCGACCAGATATTGTTTTTTCTGTAAATTTATTAGCCAGGTACAGTTCTTCCCCAACAAGAAGGCATTGGAATGGTATCAAACATATATTCCGATATCTCAATGGTACAATCGATCTTGGATTGTATTTCAAGAATGGTGCAAATGCCACTTTAATTGGCTACGCGGATGCAGGATACTTGTCTGATCCACAAAAGGCAAAATCACAAACAGGATATTTATTCACCTATGGTGATACCTCTATATCATGGAGATCAATGAAGCAAACATTAACTGCAACATCATCAAATCATGCAGAATTAATTGCTCTTTATGAAGCAGGTCGTGAGTGTGTCTGGTTGAGATCAATGATCCAGCACATACAAAATGAATGCGGTATAAAATCTTTTACTTCTAATCCTACTGTGATTTATGAAGATAATACAACATGTATAGCTCAGATCAAAGGAGGTTACATCAAAGGGGACAGAACAAAGCATATAGCACCAAAACTTTTCTCCGCACATGATCTTGAGAAAGACGGAACGGTTGATGTCAAACAAATCAAGTCATGCGACAACCCTGCTGATTTGTTCACAAAGTCATTGGCACCGAAGAAATTTGAAGAACTGGTCCATAAAATTGGAATGTATCGTCTTCGAGATATATGTTAAATTGAGGGGGAGTAATATAATGCACTGCACTCTTTTTCCCTTCGTCAGGTTTTTATCCCACTGGGTTTTTCTTGACAAAGGTTTTTAACGAGACAGTACATTATAATACTATGAAACTAATACCCCAGAATAATTGGAAGATGACCATTCAAGGGGGAGTGTTGAAATATATTGAATAGTCATCTTCCAACTATTCATGATCAGGAACACTTATCATCATTGTTAATATAAATAAGAATTCATAATTATGATTTCTAGATGGTAATTGTATGGCTCACAATTAGCCCCTGATCTAGACATGATTACATTTTCTCCTATAACTAGGAGCATTCTCCTTCATTGTAAACACACCATTATCACACTTCTAATAACATCTTTCTCACTAAGTATTCAGACTATACTTTCTCTCCCTGATCTTCTGCTTATTTCCTTCCATTTTATAACATCTCACCATTAATCATGAAGCTTTGCTGTTTTTCAAATGCTCTTTGAAACTCTCAATGATTATTTAATGAGACTTTCGCCTCTTGCTATATATAACCCTGCGAACCCATTTCACCCCCAAAAAACAAACATGTGAAGGTTTAACAAGGAATTGAACGACACGGTACTGTTTTTAAAATGAGATACGATGATGGATAGAAGGGCATAAAGACCTTTCTGATATTGATGAATGGGTCGGGAGTGCGCAATTTTCTTAGCTGTGTGTTTTAGTGAGGAAGATGGGGAAGGAAGGAAGTGGGAGTTGTATTTCCTGGAAGGTACGGTAGATAGAATATGGATGAGGTGTTGTTTGGGATTAGTAGAGGGGACATGGGTCTAGGCACGGGATGAGTAAAAAGGTAGTCATGGTTTTATTTATTTATTGTTGTTCTAAACCATTGTAGTGTTTTGTACACTACACTAAATGCTTTTGTTGCACTAAAGACTTTGTCAAGTTTTTTTATTGTCTGAAAAAGATTTGTCATTGTTTGGTTGTCGATGGTAGTTCTTATTATTTTTCACTTTATATATAAATGCACGTAATTTCACTTTCCATGTGTTTTTTAGATTTAACAAATTTCAATAGATTAAGTGAGTACAATATGACATGGAAAAGATGTACTCAGTAGAATCGACAAAACAATATGTAACCAGATATTAAAATATAAACATATGTCTGCTTATGGTCTGTCCGTTGAGATCATAACAATTGAAACTTACAATGTCACACACCTCTATCAAAAACTACTTACAAGTAGTAGATGTCAATTATGCCAAGATTATTTACTAGATTATTGGTTTGAATTAACACTTGGAATGAGCTACTTAAAAATTACGCCAAGGATATGATTCCACATTTAAAAAGCCACGTTTAGATCGCCACGCAGCACGCAGTGGTGGAGCTTATAGCTAGGAAGCGCTTGCCCGGCTTATAGCTAGGAAGCGCTTGCCCGGCCTCAAACATATACTTCGTAGTATATAGTGAGAATATAGTGATCTAATTTAAAACTTAGTGATTACGTTATATTTATGTCATAGTAAAGCGAAACAATGATTATTACTGTGCTCATTTGAAATGTAGAAAAACTACAATTACTCCGAAGAAGTGCCCATATTTTCACTACATGCATGTATACCCCTATATTAAAACTATGCATATTCTTTAATATTATATTTTTATATAAAAAAAAAATTGTTTTATAATGATGTAAAGTACAAGTACAAATATTACGGCTATGGTGAAGCCACATAGACTATATGACATATAGTGGTCATATTTATTACTCCATCCGCCCCTTTTTATTTGTTCTAATTTGACTTTCTAAATTATTGATTATAAACTTGGACCGGTTATATTTATACAGGATAGTATTGATAATATGAAAAATGATATGAAAATATTTTTTGTTATTAAAAGTGCTATCATAAAGTATAAATTTATTATGTTTCATATAAATATTAGTTAAAATAATAAATCAAAATTTACCATTTTTGACTAGAAAAGTTAAAGAAAACTAAATAAAAAGGGACAAAAATAGTACTACCTCCGTCCCACTAAGATTGGGACGAGAGAAGGTGACATGATTATTAAGAAGTAGGTTTGTTTGGTTGATATTAAATTGATAAAGTAAGAATAAAGTTGGAATGATTTAGACCCACACAAAATCTTTACCAAATATGGTATGAGACAATCTTAGTGGGACTTCCCAAAAAGGTAAAATGAGACAATTTTAGCGGAATGGAGGGAATATATTTTTGTGTTCGAACCAATCATGTTGGGAATGAAGATAAATAATGTCGAAGAATAATGTAAAATACTTGCACCTTCCATTTTTGTTTCATACTGATGTGTAGTAAACTATCAATATTATCTCTACATCTCTACAAAATTATAAGCATGAATCAAGGTAAGGATATTTTTGGTATTAAAAATTTGTTGGTGGTACATTATAGCTTTATATACATGTACCGTGTGATTAGAGCATGGTACATTGTTTCGTCTCTTCAAGTTTGCTAATAAACGGTTCACACCTTCCGTTAGGAAAACCTCACAGAGTCACTACCCTCCTATCTCTAGAGGGTAGCTGAGATGCCGCTCACAACCCAACCCACCCGACCCAGAGGAAGCATGCACACCAGGGTTCCGCATCAGTGTTCTTTCCCTTCATCTTCAGTGTCCGGGTAAGTTATCCTTTTTTCTTTCTTTTAATGTCGATTGGCACAAAACAATAGAGCAACACAGATCTCACAATATAATTTCTATCACCATTTTCTAATATAAAGTCAAAAAGATAGAATTCCTTGAATGGTACTACACAATTCCTGTAGCCCCTTTCCATTATGTTCGATTGTGGCACAGTGAAATACTGGAAGTGGTAAGAGGGGAGTGGTATAAGTTTGCATTTGAGTGATTCTGTTATACTGGTTTTTAACATATATAAGTTTAAAGCTAGCCCTTCATCTTACCCACTTCAGCTAAAAGACACCTGCTACTAGAGCTCTTTCAGTTATAAAACTATATCAAAAGTAGTTTGTTACTCTTTCATTCTCTTCCATTTATTCATATCCTATTTATATTTGAATTCATACCTGAATTAAGATAACTCTTATTTAAATTAGGAGAATTTATATCTACATTAGGATGCTAGACCATGCCTAGCTCGACATTACTATCCTAGATTATGCCTAGGTCAGTGGATGATGTGAGGTATATATATATATATATATATATATATATATATATATATATATATATATATATATATATATATATATGTATATGAACAGTGAAACCATAGGGACCTGGGGCCATGTAGCTCTATTAATGGAAAAATGTTGGATTATTTGTATATACTTTTTGAAACATACCACACTAATCAGATAGAGCATTTACATCATATGTTAATACAAAAGTAATGTTGGATTATTTGTGCAAAAAGGATGACACCCCATCCCTGAGGGCCCCCCAACACCGACCGGACGGCACGATGGGAGGATGTAAATTGGACTATAATCACAATCTGACAGATAGAGAGTGGGGCTCTGTCCCCGGTACTTGCAGAGGCCCTATGCATTTTTCAGCATAGTAACCCCTCATCGCAGATGCCGAGATTCGAACCCGAGACCTAACCCTTGTGGCACTCCCTCGCTACCAGTTGAGCTACGCCCACCGGTTATTTGTGCAAAGAAAGAATGACGCGGATATACCTCCCACAGTTTGTGTGGACCTAAATATGGGCAAATTTCATTAGGACAAAAAAGTACTCCGTATCTGTTTGGTACCCAATCTCATCTTCCTTTCCTTCTTCCAACGCACCAAGCATCTCCTCCTTCTCTCCTCTTCAGTCTTCACCGTCCCTGCTTCTCACCTAGTCACCTTCATCATCTAGCATGAGACGATGAGACCACCGCCATCTCACGCCACCGAAGCAGACGGAGACCAGGCCACCAGTGAGATGCCGTCAAAGAAGATGGAGACCACCAGTACAACGCCGATGGTCGGCGATGGTCAGCGACGTCGACGCAAGCTTCGTCTTCTCCATCTTCGCTGCTTCTCTTCTTCGTCTGT